GCAAAGTGGGGCGGGCCCGGCACCGTCACTGCGTCTAGGCGCTCCAGCCGGTCTCAGCCAAGGCTGCCCGCGCTGGGGGCGGGGGACGGGGGACAGGCGGGAAAAGGAGCCTCCAGATAACCCCGAGACAGCCAAGCTACCAAGAGATGCCTATAAAGAGAGATACCCCAGGAGAGAGATATGCTCATGGGTAGACCCCAACTCTAGAAACACCCCAAGACATTCTCGCTGAGATATATTCTCTATGCGACCCACCCCCAGCGACTGCCTCAGGGAGACACATTCCCATGGGGACACATGCTCCACAGGGAGGCACTCTTTAATCAAGAACTCTCCCCTCACTCTGAAAATCATTCTTAAGACAGTCGATCTCTGAGAGGTGATGCTTTCTCTCAAAAGCCACCATTCCCCAAGAAGAGACATTTCTACATAGAAAAATCCCGAGGCGACATTTCACGTGGGGAGCCTGGTAGGTATACCCCTAATGGAAGACCGCCTAAAAGCCATATTCTCTGTGGGAAATTGTCTCTACCCACGAGACCCCCGTGCCCCAAGAAGACATTCTTACAGTGACATTTTCACCGAGGAGGCCCGTACTCATGGGAGATACCCCCCTCTCCCAAGCAGAGACTCTTCAGGGAACCCTGCAGCCCCTCTAGTGACCCCTTCCCTCATCGTCAGGATTAAGAAGCCAGGCCAGGCTGTATTTATAGGAGCGATTAGCTGGTCTTTGGGGCGGGGCAGCTGAAGCGATTTCAACACCCCCCCCCTCCTTGCCCCGCAGTGTTCCTGCAGCTGAGGCCAAATTGACTATGCTTCCCAGAGTTAGAGCTGAAACCTACCCACACCAAGTCTAGGCACTGGGGGGCAGGATGGAGAGGTGGCTTCCCAAGGGTCCAGCCCATAAATGGCTCGAGGGCTCTCGAGGGCAGTCACTGAACAGGAGTGACTCCTGCCTCCCAACGGGAGCAACAGCCAGGTCTAGTGAGGTCTAGTTTGTGTTCTGTACCCCCCCGCCCACCACGGCCGCACTTGTCTCCTCATCTCTGTGCCTTTGCCTGAGTTGATTGTCTGTTTGTCTCTGTTGGTCGGCATGTTTATGTTGCCATCTCGTCGAGTCTGTTCTTCACCTTTCTCTGTCCAAGGCCGGGACTCCACTTGTGTCGCCCCTTTTCATGCGGGCGGCCGCGGGAGCTCTCCGTGGTGCTGATCTCGTGTGCTCCTGTCCGCGGTGCTGAAATCTGCGTGCAGATTTGGGGGCTGAGGTCAGGAAAGGAGAAGGGCTGGTGGGAGGCACTACCCAGAGGCTGGCTAGATCTGACCCAAGATCTGGTCCTGCATCTACTCCCTTACATTTATTATCTCTTACTCAACTGGACACATTGAACAACCTGGACTGCTCTAAGATGAGCTGGGGGTAGGCTAAGTCCACTGAATCTTGGTTGCTGATGCCTCCAGGACAGCAATGGGTGCCCTCAGTGGAGCCTGGAGACACTGCTTTCTGATTTGTTCATTCACTAAATTTGTATTGACCACTTAATGTGTGCAAGTTAGTGTTTTGAGATCTAGGAGTACAGCAGTAAAAGAGACAGAAAAAAAACTATGCACTAGACTGAGAAGGAAGAGAGATTTGTGATAGTTGTCATTACTCACAAAAACACATATGCACTCTCTACAAGCACAGGTGCACACACACATACACATACACTCTGCAACCATACACACAAACATGAACATACTAACACACGCTCAGCAAACAGACTCATATACTCATATTTATATACTCTGCAAACACATACTCCATAAACACACACACTCTGAGAATACACACATATATAAACACATACTCAACACACACAAACACATATACACATAAACTCACACTCTATAAACACATAGAAAACACAGACATACATATTCAGCAAGTGCAGCACAAACAACAAATACAAACACTTAACAAACACAAGCACACACATACTTCCCAAATGAAAGGAAGCTCAGCTACACACAGACTCATCCAACATACAGGCACATATATCCTCCCAAGGCAATACATGGACACACATACACATACATACCCACTGCAGGGCTGTTTTCCTCATCTACTAGAATGTCAGCTCTATGAGGATTGAGATTTTCAAGTCTTGGTCACTACTACATTCCCAGAATGTAACACAGCAGGTGCTCAATAAATGTTTGTTGAATGAATAGATGAGTGAGAAAATGTTCGCAAGGGACATAGTCACAAAAACTACAGAGGGACACACACACATGCATATTTCAGATGCAGATACACCCTCTTCACCCCCTTGCTCACTTACGATCAACATTCATGGTCAACAACCTTTACCCACTGACTCTATTCACTGATTTTCGCAGGGCACACATCCTATTCTGATCCTGCATCTACTCCCTTACATTTATTATCTCTTACTCAACTGGACACATTTGGCTTGGGACACATACAGTCCTCCTTATCTCAATTTTGAACACACAAACACAACCACAAAACCAAGAGACACATACAAACTGCACACAACGTGCACATACACATACACGCAGCCACATAAACACATCCTCATTCAATGCACAATCTCCACATGTACAGATCCAGAGTTTAAGCCATAATTTCAACATAAAAGCAAACAAAAGGATGTATACACACCAGTCCCAGGTCCTCCAACCTTTTGTCAGCTGGAGCAAGGGGAGGGATGGTGGGAAATCCCTCCCCTGCATCAAACCACGCCCCCTTGGGCTGCCACCATTTCCTGGACTTAACCCTGAGGTGTCTCGGCAGCGCCCTAGACCTCAGTCCGGCTAACAGGTGAGGGGTGGCTTGAGGGGGAAGGGAAGGGTACTGAACTGTCTTGCTTTCACCGATCCTCCAGTTTCCTCTGCCCTGGGGCTTTTGTACCCCAGCGACAGAACCTGAGTCCTGCCACAGCCAAACTTGGCTCCAAAGGCCTAGCCTTGGGTGGCAGCCCCTAAGCCGATTGTAGGCTGAGAGAAGGTGACCATGAGAGGGGCCAGCGGGGATTGAGGAGGGAGGAGACTGGGCAGAAGATAGGGAGGAATTACTGAACAGAAGAGAGACATCGAATGAGCTGGAGACATCCCCTTAGTTCTGGAGATGGAGGGGGTTGCCTAAGGGCTCACAAGGTGGGAGATCCTGCTAGGTGTGAGGAGGGGGCTACCAAATTCAGGCAAAACTGGGGGAGGGGCACTTGGGTCTGAAGGAATAGAGGGGACATGAGTCTGGTGGGGAAGAGGGCTCCTGGGTCAGAGGTAGGCCTTGGTGGCCCCTGGGATTTGAAGGTCTTTGGCCATTGCCTCCTCATCAATTGCCCATTCTCTGCTCTGCCTGGCACTGTCTCCTGGGTTTGCATCAAGAGAGGACCACCCTGAGTTCCCAAAAAAGGACGGCTGACCTTCAACCCATACCCCAGCTGACTCTTATCTTAAGTGGACATGGCCTGCAGGGGCCGCATTCGACCCAGGGGCCTGTCCTGGGCCCTGCGACTGACCCTGGCATGGATCCTGCTAGGGGCCTGTGGAGGGAGCCGCCCATTCCCCATTAAGTCCCGAAGACACCACAGGCTGGCGGCCAATCTGGGCACAGGTCAGCTGGACCTGGCAGGTGAGCACTCCAGACCCTGCCTAACGCACAGGAACCCTCACTCCATCATAGCAATACCAGAATTTCCTTATGACAGGGGCTTAGAGCAGACTAGGATAGTGCTGAAGAATGTAGTTAAAGAGAACAGACTCTGAAATCAAACTGCCTGGGTTTAGATCCCAACTCTGAGGTTAAAGAGAACAGACTCTGAAATCAAACTGCCTGGGTTTAGATCCCAACTCTGACATTTTGTAGCTGTGTGACCCTGGGCAAGTCACTTAACCTCTCTGGGACTCATGTGAGCCATTAAAAATGGGGAGAAACAACAGACCTACTTCACAGGGGTGTTGTAAAAGGGTATATATATAAGCATTTGAGAATTAGCACCGCCACCAGGGACATAAAAAATAATTAGCCGATTATCATAAATATTACTTGAAGCTGCATTTGCATCTCAAGTGAAGTGTCTTTAAGTTTTATGTTTGGGAAAAATGATATAACTGGAGTCCACCTGTTTGGGGGACCTCCCCCCCCAGGCCTTGGTTCCCCAACCCTACCTAAGAATCTAAGACCCCAACTCAAAGGAGTTCCCTTCTCCATGGCCCTATTTTCCCTCAGAGATGGACACACAAGAGGCATTGGACCCAGTGATCCTCCCAGGGCACTGTGGGGGAGAGTCGAGCCCCAGGTGAGTACAGCAATCCCCAGACTTTCCTTGTGCTCTTTATATCAGTTGCCCCAGCCAGGGTAGAGAACCCTGGCGCATCTTGACCCGTCCGGGCCTGTCTCTCCTGATATCCAGGTGTAAATCATTCCTGGGACACCTCCAAGTTGCCCTCCACAGTCGCTTGCACTTCCTGCTATTGCAGAAACGTCAGACACAGCCACTCTGCGCAGAGCTCTGTGATGCCTGGTAGGAGAGGTGGGGCATCAGGGGCATGGCCTATGGTTTAGGCAGGGCCAAAGGCAGGATCTGCAGCAGGCTGGTGCTACTGTTTAAAGGGGGCATGGCCTGCACAAACAAGAGGATGAAGCCTGGTGTTTAGACATTAGGCAGAAAGGAGCCGGGCCTGTGGAAAACAAGAATCCTACTGGAACCCGACTGCAGAGCCTTTACTCCACTTCTTTTGTCCACTCACCAACCACAGGTTTGCCATCTGCAAAAGCGATATCACCTGTGGCCCAACTTGGCTTCCACTCCTTGAAAAGAGGGGTTGCAACCCTGGCTGCAGTACCTATGGGCAGGTGAGCATGGGACAGAGGTTGTGGGAGGAAGCCGAGACCTCCTCTTACCATGTGCTGTCCTAACCCACCTGGGCCCAGAGTCTGGACTGGCATTCCCAAAGCCCCCCCTACCCCCGCTCCCACCCTTCTGCTCTTCTGCAGCCCAGCTTCCATAATGGAATGCATTTATGCCAGCAGCTTCCCTAAGGCCCACTGAAACCGAATTTGCCCACCCCAAGGGACTGTCTCTGCTCCAGGGCCATCCACAAGTCCCCCCCAGAAGATCCAGAGGCCCTAGTCACCTTCCTCAATGCCCCAACCTTAATTTAGCCCTCCCCCACTCCAGCCTCACAGAACCCAGTAGGAACTACTTGCCCTCCCCAACCCCACACTACGGCCTGCCATAATGACCAGTGATCCAGAGGTGAGAATTGCCCGTCCCAAGACCCCGCCCTCACCCTGGCCCCTACTCTCAATGGAACTCTCAGCCTTTCCTTTTCCAAGGCCATGGTCCTGAACACACCCTCCACCAGCCTCAGACGGCCACGCCCCCCAGGGTGTCTGCACCCACTCGGGCCCTAACTCCACTCCTTCTCCCAGACCTTCGCTGACGGGGTGGACCTTTGCCGCTCGGTTCTGGGCTACGCAATGCCGGTGGCAGTTCCAGGCGCTGGTCACTGCCTCAACATTTCCATCTCCGTGCTTCCACATCCCAGACAGAAACGGAGGGCGGGAGAAACCACCTTCCTGCGCTCCCGCCGCACTGGCACCTGGATCCTGGACATCATGGGCAGCGGGAGTGGCAGTGGAAGTGGCAGCGGCCGCTAGGGGGCGCCTAGCCCTGGATGGAGAGTCGTCCCTTTCCCTCAACTCCCGCCTGCCCCCTCACGACACCCAGAGCTCCAACCCTCTCCCTCTCTGCCCTCTAGTTTCTAGAGGCCTATCCCTTTTCCCTGGGGCCCCAGAGACTAGCCTCTCTCCAAATTATTAGAGCAATAACCCAACTCTAGCCCATTTCCTCCTCTCCACCTGGAATAAAGTCGCCAACTAGAGCACATGATGTGGCTGCTTCTTGGAGAAATGAGTGGGAAGGCTCGTTGCCAGAAAGTGATAGGTGTCTCACCCCAATCCTCAGGACCTAGGGTTAGCGACTGATTCACACTAGCATGTAAATGACAGATGTGTAAATGATGGATGGCCTATACCCTGGAGCACTTGTCTCCTAAATAGGTATATTCAGGTGTTAGAAACAGGGGGTGGAGTTAGAAGGGCTGACAAAGGCAGGTGTGTTCTCCCACTATGTGCCACCAGGAAGAAGCTCCCTGCCACATACGAAGCTCTCTGACTTGTATGGATGTCCCCTTCCTTCCTTCACATTCTCCCAAATCCCAACCCTAGCCCTAAAGGCAAAGGACTGGACCCTGATTCAGGATTTGGGTTGTAAGCACTACTCCTAATTCTCTTCCTTATCCACAGGCCCCAGGAGAGCCTCAGTTTCCTCACCTGGAAAATAGAGGCAAGGTCCTTTTTAGTTCGATAGATCAAGATTGATGGATGCCTCCTATGACAAGGCACTGTGCTGAAAAAGATGAGATTCATTCCCTGCCCTCAGGGAAAATGAAATGACATAAGAAAAGTGTCCCACTAGGAGAGTAGCAACCAGGCCTCTTTTGGCTGCAAGAGACAAGTTCAGTTCAAAGTTTCTTTAGCCAAGACACTGCTAAACTTCAAGAATGGCTGTATTTTGGTGCTTAAATGATGCTGGGAATCTATCCCTATCTTTTTCTCACAGTAGCAAAGATGGACCAGAATCCCATGATTCCAGTGACCTATAGAAATGGACCTATTTCTCTGTCAAACCAGCAAAAGTTCCAGGGCTAGCTGTCACTGATCCAGCCTCGTCATGAGCCCAACACTTAACCAATCATAGTGCCCAGGGGGATGCTGTGCTTTCACTGGCCTGATCTGGGTTATGGGCTTGTGCCTGAAGGCCCATGATGGGATCAGTTCCATCTGAACCACATGGACTGAGGATGGGAGAAGGGTGGTTACCCCAAAGGAAAGTCAGGCGCTGGGACCAGAAGAGAAAAGGGTGCTGGGCAGGGAATCAAAATATATTGGCCGGAGAATGGTGGTTAGGACCCTGACTCTATAGTACAGTTACCTGGGTTCACATCCCAGTTCTACCATTTACTCATATTGGTAACTTTGGGCATGTTTCTTCATCTATAAAATGGAAATTATAATTGTTCCTCTCATAGGATTGTTGTTAAGTGAGTTCTTGCAAGTTGTTCTGGTTATGCACTGCTGTGTAACAACTTCAAACACAGTAACATAAAACAATGATCATTATTAGCTCTCATGGTTCTGGGGTTTACCTGGGCTCAGCGGGGTTCTTGCTCAAGGTATCTCACGTAGGAGATAGAGTCACCTTGAAAGCTTCCTCACTCATACATCTGGTGCTTGGCACTGGCTCTTGCCTTGAACTTCAGCTGGGGCTGTTGGCAAGGATAGCTAGACATGGCCTCTCTCTGTGGTTTGGGCTTCCTCACAGGATGGTGGCTGGGTTCCCAGGGCAAGTGCCCCAAGAAGGAGAACCAGGTGGCAGCTGTCTCACCTTTGATGATCTAGTCTTGGAAGTCACACAGTATCACCTTGTATTTTCTGATCGCTAAGGTGAGTCACTAAAGCCAGCTCATACTCAAAGAGAGGCATCCTAGACTCTACCTCCCAATAAGAGGGATGTCAAATAAAATGCTTGGAAAGTGCTTGGCACATCATTAACAATAAATATCATTATAATCCATTATCATTGTTGTTGATGATGATGATGTTATATGCTGTGTTACTGTAACAAAAGAAGCAGGCATTTGAGGAAGAAAAGTGATAGAAGCCTTGGAAGGAACTCCAGGCAGATAGAAGACCAAGCTGTGAGGAAGTGCATCTCAAGTAGGAGGCCTGGAAAGATCAGGTTCTAGTCAGTGAGCCTGGAGCAGAGTGTGGGAACTATGGACGGATCATTAGAAGTCCTTGAACTCCAGGCAAAGCCAACTTGGACCTGATTATGAGGGCCATAGGTTTATGCAGGGCAACATCCATCAGACTGACACTTGCAAGCAGGACAGGGAAGGGTGAAATTGGAGGTGAGGGGTACCAGTGAGGACACTGGGACAGGAACTGGAAGATAGGCAGAGGGGGATGAACAAGAGGAATTCGGACTAACCTGCAGTGCTGTCAAGAGCAGGAGTGGCTGTTTGAAAACTTCGAGAAGCATTGCCTGGAACTCTCTTCCACCCTCCTGTTATCTGTTCCACTCTACCCTTCAGATCTTGGCCTGTCAGCTTGTCAAGCTCTGTGAGACCCAGACCAGTGCCAGCCTCCCCATCATGCATCCCTGGGTCCTCTGGGACCCTTCCGGCTGGTCAATGGTGGCTTCCCAGTGTCCAGCACAGAATCTACATAGAATAGACAGGTGCTCTGCTATGGGCTGAACTGCCCCCACCCCATTCATATGTTGAGTCCTAACCCGCAGGACCTCATGTGACTGTATTTAAAGATAGACCTTTAAGGTAATTAAGGTTAAATGAGGTCACACGGGTGGGGAGATTAGGACACAGATACACAGTGGGAAGACTATGTGAGGATGCAGGGAGAAGGCAGCCATCATCTACAAGCTGAGGATAGAGGCTTCAGAAGAAATTAAACTTGCCAACATCTTCATCTTTGACATCTAGCCTCCAGAACTGTGAGAAAATAAATTTCTGTTGTTTAAGCCACCCAGCCTGTGGTACTTTGTTATGACAGCCCAAAGAGACTAATACATGCTCCACAAATAATACTCCCACAATGCTCTGGGATTCTGCTATCAAATTAAAAAATGAGCCATCCCCTTTCTTCTTTCCATGAAAATCCTACTGTTCAAGTCCAGGTGGGGTTCAAGGGTTGGAGAGGATGGGCCTCTCCCTAGCCCTAGGTGTCAATTCCTGACTCTATCCCAAATATTCCACTCCTCTTGTTAGGGATTGCCTTGGGCTTGGACATGTATCCTACCTCCAGCCAGGAAGTGACAGAGCAGCTGCTGGGAGATAAGGCTTTGCAGGTTGAGATGTAATGTCTGGAGCTATGGAGGCTAACTCGAGACCATAACAGGCAAAAACACCAAAGCTGGCAAAACACCAAAGTTGGAAGATGGGCTAAAAAAAAAAAAACCAGTGTCTTTGAAGTTGTTTAGCCACTTGACTTCCAAACTTCCGTAGAGTGAGATAAATCTGTCTTGCTGCTGGCAAGGCTGTGGGGAAAATGAGTTCTCACTTACACTGCTGGTGCATATGCCATGGGTATTAAGCCTCCACGGAGAATTTGAAAATATCTCTTCTCCAAATTACAAACAAACACATAGATTCTCTAACCTAGCAAGCTCACCTCTGGGACTTTATCCTACAGACAAAGCTGTATACGAGAAATGATGGCACATTCTGGTCATTCCCTGCTGTACAGGCTTAACAGCAAGCTAAATGACAACTCAGGATCTACTAAGAGGCATTAAATAAACTACGGGACAGTCATGCCACAGAGGATGCTTCAGCTGTAAAGGGAATGAGGAAAGTCTTTAGATGCCCATTTGGAATTTCCTTCAAGATACATGTGGCATGAAGAGTAACATTAACTATCTAAGGTATGCTTCCATTTGTGTTAAAAAAGAAACTTTAAAAAAGAATGTATCTGTGCATATGTTTGTAACATATCTCTATCTCTGAAAGGACCTACACAGACCTGCTATGGTCTGAATGTTTTGTGTCGCCCCAAAATTCCTATGCTGAAATCCTAACCCTCAGAGATGATGGTATTAGGAGGTGGGGCTTTTGGGGACATCATTAGGTCATCAGTATGGAGCCCTCATGAATGGGTTTAGTATCCTTATAAAAGGGACCCCATAGAGATCCCTCACCCCTCCACCATGTGAGGATACAGTAAGAAGTCATCAGTCTGTGACCCAGAAGACAGCCCTCACCAGAACATGACTATGCTAAGACCCTGACCTTGGACTTCCAGCCACCAGAACTGTAATGTCTTGTTTATAAACCACCCAGTCTGTGGTATTTTGTTATTACAGTCCAAACCCTAATTCTGTACCACACTAATATATATTTTAAAATAAAAATCAGTCAACCAGTGCCCAACTTGTTTAGTTCGCAAATGTCAGTAGCTGGGTCCCGCTGTAGACCACGTTCCCACCACCCCCCGTCCCAAAGTACAACCCTCACGTCTGGCTTTCCTTAAGCAATTTTAATCACAAACTGGGGGGACGGGGAAGGCAGGTAACAGGGGTACAGGCCAGCTCCTAGAGAGTGGTGACTGACTCCAGGCCACGTTCCTGGAAGTACCGGTGGGGAAGGCGGGGGCGGGTTCGGGGGCCTTCACTGAAGTAAGATGTGATCCTCCCAAGTCCCTCCTGATCCCCTGTTGGCGAGTCCTCCCTGTGGACGAGAGGTGGCAACACTGACCACCTTCTCTGGGGGCAGCCCTCCCAGGCCGAGCTGAGCCCTGGCCTCCTTCCCTCTTTCTCACAGGACCTCTGGGACACCCACCATGTAACGACTTCTGCTTCCTTCTCCAGGATGCTCTGGGCCGTGCGCCAACTGAACCGGACAAACTGGGGAAAGCCAAAGATGGGCTCCACGTGCTTTCTCAACCATGCTTTCGTCTTGGGATCTAGGGGAGTGGTGGGGTGAACAATGGTGATGGCCCCTGAGCTATGACATAAAGTCCCAGCTCCTCAGTCTGGCATCTTAAGTCCCATCACCTCATCTGAGGCCTCTTCCTGAGTACCTGAGACACCTTCCACTGTCTGAAACATCTTCCTGCCTCAAGAACTTTGCATAGGCAATCCACCCCCAACTTTTCACCTGGCCGACTGTTGCTCAAGGTGCAGTTTAGGGAGACTGCCCGAGACATCTCCCTTATCCCGCCAAGGACAACCAGCATTTGTGGACATCCGGTTAATGCCCATATCCCCCATGTAACCATAAGCTCAGTGGGGACAGAGACGTTCTCATCTGTCTTGCTCACAGTTATACCTCTAGGGCTTGGCCCTGCATAGCATGTACCAGGTACTCAGTAAGCACTGAATGCTGCCCAAACTGTTTTTGGCCTGGACCTGGTTTCCTCATTTTGGCCTCACCTAAGTTCCAATCACAGACTTACTATGTCACTCCACCCACCTGCCAGTCCTTTCCTGGGTCTCAGAAGGACCAGGAAGTTCCTTGAACCCCGCCACTGAATCTTCCAATCTGCCCTTGTGGGGGCAAAGGGAGTGAGGGGGGCACAATCATCTCCACTTCAGACGAGGAAACTGAGCCTCATCATGGGGGGAAAATGATGGATTTAAGCTGAGGCCACTGGACATGAGCTGGTGCCCCTCCCCCTGTCCTTTTCCCCTTAATGAATGGACAGATGTCCACTATGGGTCTCCGTCCCTCACTGGAGCTCCAGAGGAACAGCACAGAGGGAGGGAGGGAGCAGGGAGGAAGGAGCCTGCCAGCTAGAATTCAGCTCTGCCACACAATGGCTATGCTCAAGTGGCCTCCAGTCCAGGCTTCAGCCTCTTCTGCGGTGGGGTGGGGTGGGATGAGCAGAACAACTCTCAGTCTGTCCTGTCAGTGTTATCACCAGGACCGCTGTCTCAGGGCAGCTCCCACGGCAGCCCCCACTGCCATCTGCTCACCATTGGGATACCCTGAGCCATAATCGATGTCCAGGTCCTGCAGTTTTTCCACAAACTGCCAGTTCTTCACGGCTTGGTCACGTGCCACCTGTGGGCAAGACAGGCACTTGGGATTTCCGTCTCTCAAGGCACTACATCTGACCCCTGCCCAGAGGGATGCTGGAAGTTGTACATGGACAGCAAGGGGCTGACCTTGGCACAGATGCTGGCAGCACTGACCACAGGGTAGAGAGCATCTGCTTTGGCCTTCACTGTCACCTCAATATCGGGAAAGCACTGCTGTAACCGCTCCTGGTATGTCTCTGGCAGCCCCACGGTGTCCACAAATACCTACAGTGGTGACAGGAAATGTATTAATTCAACATCGGGAAAAACAGCTTTACAAATAATCCGGTGTCAGAGCCTTTGTACTTGTTCCTGCTGCCTGGAATACTCTTCTCTGGGCTCATCCCCAGGCTGAATCTTTCTCAGAGGTCTCAGATCAAACATCACCTTCCAAAGAGGCTTTCCCTGATTAAGCTGTACCCATTCTACATTTATTGAGCACTACTGTATTCCATGGGCTGTGCTTGATACAGGGAACAAGGCAGTGAACACACCAGACAAAAATCTGTGTTCTCATGGAGGGGACACCCACACCTGGGTGAGGGCTACAGACAAGAAACAGAGTAAATAATAAAAGATGGGGGAGAGTTGGAAGAGGTTAGCATTTTAAACAGAAGCATAGAGGGTGGGGAGGTTCAGGGAAGGTCACTCTGAGGTGGTGACACTCGAATAAAGGCCAAAAGAAATGAGGAGATGAGCCATGTGGAGATCTAAAGGCCCTGAGGTAGGACCATGTCCAGTATACTGGGCAGCAGTAGGGAGTCTCTATGGCTGAAGTGAAGATGAGTTCAGGGAGGTAACAGGGAAAGTGATCTCTACAGCAGTTACAGTTCTCAGAAATCACCTTTATTACTTACTAGCTGACTTGTCTCCCCTGACAAGGCCATGAATCTCTGAGGACAGGGCTCTTGTCCATCTGCTTCAGTACTGCATCATCAGCTCCACACTCCACTTTCCAGTCCTGGACCTCAGCCACCAACTCAGCAAGGCCTTCCTTGTTCCATTCCCTTCCTCAAGTGTTTTTATTTGCCTTTGTTATTCTCTCAAAACAATCTGTTGTTCGCCTTAGAGACTCATTGCAATGCCAATTTATATTTCTCTGATAATTTAATCTCGTTCTCTTCCCCTTGATTGTGAGTCAAGATTTACATTAAAAAAGATGACTGTCTGCTGCTGCTATGTTGGGAGCAGATTGTAGGGGAGGGGGCTGGAGATGGGGGACCAGGGAAGAGGATGGGGCAGGCGTCCAGGAGGAAAGGGTGCCCTAGACTAGGATAAGTGGACAGATGTGTAATTTGTTTTGGACACTGAGCCTTTAGGATACAGAGATAGATGGGGGTGGGGTTGTGGGTCCCACCATGGTCCTCAGTGGGGCAGACACATATTAGGGTGGGAAAAGCGGTAGGAAATCAACAGCAACAAATATTCCTGAGGGTCTACGGCCATACTACCCTGAACACACCCACTCCACTCTTGTCTGATCTTGGAAGCTAAGCAGGGTCTGGCCTGGTTAGTACTTGAATGGGAGACCACCTAGGAATACCGGGGACTGTAGGCTTTAAGAAAAAAGAAATTCCTAGCTCACCTGAGCAACATTCACACCCTGATCCAAAGCATACTGCACCAAACCAGCGGCTGTATCATGGGACAGGGAGTTCAAGTTGTATTTGACCCTGCAGTGGGGAACAGAGCTCAGTCAACCCCATTCCAGCAATGGATCCATTCCAGCCTATGCTGGCTGCCTCTCCGCCCTGGCCTGTCCAGGGGACCCCTCACCGTCCAAGCATGCTGGTAGAGATGAGGTTTGGAGACAGCACGTCCAGTGCCCAGCCCACAAAGTTCCTGTCCTCCTCCATTTTTGCAAAGAGCCTGTCCCGCTCGCTCTCCGACAGGGTCTTTGAGTCTGGGAAGTAGGTTAAGAGAGAAGGGAGAGCAGCTGGTTCTACCACTTCCTGTTGTCTCTCTGCAGCTGGCACCCGCCGCTCCACATGCCCAGTAACCCCCTCCCCAGACATACAACTCGGGCTCACCTGCCACTTTCAGGGCCTTCAAATCTGCCAGGCGTGACAAGGGGCAATAACAGATGGCGTAGACCATGGGGCCTGGGGAAGGGGAAGCGGGGTTCCAATCAGTGAGCCCGCGAAAACTGCCATCCCTGCTCCATCATCAGTGTTTTTTCCGGTGCCATCATTAATGCCATGGCCATCACCACTACCAACCCCCACCCCGAATGCGGTGCAATCCCGTCTCCCGTTCCACTGCAGTTTGCATCCCTTTTATCACGTCCCTCCCAAACTCGGCCCTAGGAGCGCACCCAACACCGGGCCCCGGCCCGCTTCATCGACGCCCAGGACGCAAGGTTCCTTGCGGCACACCGCCGGCACAGGCGAGTTTAGGCGACAGCGACCAGTATTGTCTCTCTCCAGCTCGCTGAGATCCATGCCGCCTCGGCCGCCGCCACCAGCCGCAGGAATGAAGTCCGCAGAAACAGGTCTGGGCGCGCGTTTTCTGCCAGTCCCTCAGTGGCTCTAGCTCCCCACCAATTAGCACACAGGACACGCCTCCGACGCCGCTGACGTCTGCGCAGCCGACGCCGACGCCGCTGTCGTACCGCTTCCTGGGATCTGTAGTTCCCGAGACCGACCGCGGAGCTCTGAATTTGGGAAACGGGGTGGGCGGGGTCGCTTTCGAAGCTCCGCTCTGGAGTCTCTGGAGCCTCACCCGCCGGAGCTGATGAGAGGAGAGGGAAATAAATGGGAAACTGAGGCCAGCCTTGTCGGACCGGACCGGGCCGGGCCTAGAAGGTGAAATACCACTACACTCCCAGAATTTGGGTGCCTGCATCATTGGGTCCCCGTCCCCGACCTGGACTCAGGCCATTTGCACTTGTCGATCCCTGCAACTCCATACAGTCTAAGCCCCCTGGACTAGGTATCCCCGATCCCACTGGGCTCAGGTCTTCGGATTTGGGATCCCCCAACTCCCTCTCTCTAAGTACCTCATCCGGATTTCCGCCCCCTCTTCCTACCCTCTCATTTGAGCTAAGCCTCCCCTTCCTCCGAACCGAGATCTACGATCCCAAGACCTCAACAGACTTCTGCTTAGAGTCTTCGCCCACCATGCAGGCTCATTCTCCCCACCTCTGGGTTTATATCCTATCCCAACTCCTCCCTTCTCCTTCTCTCACCCCATCTTATTCCCTGGTCTCCTCTGCCTATGGATCCCTGGCCCTCACCAGACTCATGCCCCTTTCTCAGGGTCACAGCTCCTACGTCTTCGTTTCCCCTTCCTTGCCCCCCACTATCTTTCTTCCTTTCTCCTCGGATATCAGCAGGGTTCACATCTCCAGACTCAGCTGTCTCCTCCCCACACTACCTTCAAGCCCCCGACAAAGGCAGGTCTCCCTTCCCGGTGCCCGCCTCCTACGCGCCACCCACAGGCTTTCCTCTCTTCCCGCCCACCCTATGACTTGCCAGCCCGCCCTGGCCCCGCCTCCTCTGCTCCCGTCTCTCACTCGGTCTCAGGGCCTCCAGTCGCAGTCGATCGGCTTGCAGGGTGAACAATCTCGTTGCCTGCAGGGCCGCACTTGCACCAGGTTCTCGCGGTCCATGAACACCGGGCCCGGCGCTGTGCCCAGCACCTCGCGACTGCGCTCCTGCTTGCCCAGGTCGCAAAGGCAGCGCCACTTTCCCCACGGGCCAAGGATCGAGTCCTCCACTTCTAAGAATAGAGGGCTAGGTCGGGGTTAACCTACCCGCCAACCCTCCTGTAACGGGGAAGGAAGATAAACACCCAAACAGCAACAGCTCTTGTTTGCAGGACTGTGCTTCTGTGCCAGGCACCCTGCCACAGATGATCTAATTTTAATCGTCCTTTAGTCCCAGATGGGGAAACCGAGACTTCGAAAGAGTAAGCCACCCTTCTGAGCTCCCGCATCTGGTGAGTTGCCCAGAGGGACTGCAAACTAACACTGCCCACCTGTGCCAGCCTACCCAGTTGGGACTGTGGCACTACACCCCTCGTGCCCACCATCTGAAGCTGACTCCCATCTTCAGGGAAGTGATAATGAGCCTGTCCAACAGGCACAGTGCCACTGGACCAGCAGGTCGGTCAGGTGGTAAATTAAATGACATAATTAGCATAATAAAGGTACTTAAAACCCCTGGTGCTGTCCTAGTACGTAGAGGAAAACCACTGAGTAGGATCACCTTTAAAGAAGCTACAACTTACTGAGCGTGTAACCACTCCTCTTTACAAGGTTCTTTTACAGACTTCTACCTAAACCTCTATAAGACAAGTGCCAATTCACGAAGCCTCCATCACACGGCACTCCCTGGCACACTTCCCCCTAAATCTTTGCCTTACTGGCTTTTCTTGTCATGACAGCTATATTGGTTACCTATCTCCTTCAGTTGGGCCTTTAGAAGTTGACCTGCCTTCTTTTTCTATGTTTGCGCTTCCTACCACCTACCCATGATTTTATGGATGTGCCCGTTGGGTCCTGCTCACATACCCTCTCTCCGTGTAAGCTGCTTAAAGGCAGTATCTATTTCAATTCACAGATGAAAAAATTGAGCCTCAGAGATAAATAACCAGCCCAGTGTGGAGCTGGGCGGAGATGTGAAGTCCACGGAGGAGGGACTGCTTACAGCCAGCTGGCAAAGTGGGGCAATGGAGAATCTTTCCGCACCGTCACAGCCGCGACCTGTGGTTACCTTTTCCCTGATGCTGCAGCCGCAACTGCTCCCAGGTGTCGCCTCTGCCCTGCTCGCCAAAGTAATAGTAGTCGGGGGAGACCTGGGCAGGGGTCGCCAGCAGCAGAAGCATCAGAGGCAGCAGCAGCAGAGCCTCTGGGCTCCCGGCCATGCCGGACTCCAACCGCCCCCAGCGCGCTCCGGGGCTAAGCCTGGCGCGGGGGTCTGTGGAGCCCGCATTACCCCTTCGGGCGGGCGCAAGCCGTCGCGGCCCACACCTGCAAGCCTCCCCCAGTGGCCCGGCAGGCGCGTGTACCCAGCCGGCTCCGCTCCCCCTCCCCTGCAGTGGTAGTGGACCCGACCGCTCCGCCTGTCTCCCCTCCCCTCCCCCCGCCCTGCGCGTCATGGTTCCGGCTGCGCATAAAAGGCTCGGCGGCCTTTTGCGCACTGGGCGCTGAGAAACGCGAGTCTGCAAGTCTGCTGTTGTGTGTACCCTTGCTCACGCAGGTAGGGACACCTGGAGCGCATCCAACTGGGGGCAGCCCCCTTGGAGCCGCTTCGGCCCTTGTCGGTCCTCAGCGCTGGCCTCCTTTGTTTTCCACCCGCCGTGGTGGCCGCCTTTGTGCTTGCGGGGGGAAACCAAGGCCAGAGTCGCAGGCCGCATCGCCAGATTCCCCGCCCCCTGCTCGCGGGGGCCCTTCCCGGGGCGGTGGG